TTGATAATAAGCTGTTAGATTAGGTTAATGATTTAAGACTACTATATGTTTGAGAATGGAAGAAGGAGGTTTAAAACTAATTTATAGGATTATAATACACTGGTCATTTTGATGTTTCATCAAAAAATATTTTAGAGGGTGTCTCAATAGTAATTGATCACCTTGAGGTGACAAAATGTACTGTTACTGCTTTACTAATAAAAGAAGGAAGTAATTCATTTCCTTTTAGGTCCAGAACTTCAGTATAACCTAATCATTGTTATTCATTTATCAAGGAATAACATATAAAAATTATAAAGAAAAAGCATAGCAGTGTACAATGAGTACAGATGATGTTCTGAGTCAAATAATGACATCTATATTAATATGTCATGCAGTTCTTACTGCACTATAGAAAAAAAAAACAAAAACTATAGCGTTCCTGGTTAACTTTGTTGAAAATGGCATCTTATAACATTCAACCATAACTATAAATTTTACTCCTTCATGAATCACTGTTAGAAGAACCAATTTCAGGTAACATAGGCAATTATAATGTGGCTTTGAAAAATTATGCTTATAATTTCAACTTGAAAAAATCTGAGTGATTCAAGGTATTTTGTTTTTCTTTTGTTTAATGCCAGAGGGTACAGGTTGTGTATACCACAGAGAGAAAGAGAGAGACAGAGAGAGAAAGAGAGAGAAGTTCCCATCAATGGGGTCTAGTCATACCATAAGCCCCTTCAATTCATTTCTCCATCCTGTCAGGATTCTGGGTATATATGCACATGTGCCTGGTATGTTTTTCAAGCTGCCAGGTCCAAGATTCAAAATGATTTGACCATGTGAAATCCAGCTCCCGCTACAGGGAGCTTTTCCACAGCAGTGTAAGGCCAGCCCTTGTTTTGGTTTTTAATTAAGTGAGGTAGATTTGAAATGGTCATCAGAACTACCTAATGTAACTTCAGTGAAACAATTCTGTTTAATTATAAAGTTGTTATAGTTTGTTTATAGAATTTTTTTTTGAGAGGTTTTTGCTAGAGGGCGCATGCGCTCGCCAGAAAGACAGAGAGAGACAGAGAGATAGAAAGCGAGAAATCACCCCCCAGGGGGGATGGCCACGCTGCAATCCCTTCTCCTCCATTCTCCTCTCGGGATCTTGGGCATGCATGCACACGTGCCCGGCGTGAGTTTAAGCTGCCGGGTCCAGGACTTGAACTGCGGTAGACTACGTGGGAGTCCAGCGACAAAGCCATTACACTAACGGCTGGTCCCTATTTGTAGAACTTTATATCGCTATTTTAGTTAAGAACTTGCATTATCATTATCTAATGATTAAATTAAGTAAATTTCCTTTTGCTTTACATGCCAATTTTCTATAGTACATGGTTATCAGTTCAAATTTTTTAATCACTTGGTTTGAAAATATTTTCATAAAGTGAACTCAAATGAATTATTTCTAATTAACAATGCATTTACCATACATATACTTATGAATAACATTTTATTTACATGAAAATATTTTAGAGTCCTTCTCCAGTATTAATGAATATAAAGCTAGCATGAACAATAATAAATTACTATAATAATATTAGTAATATAAATGTTAATTTGCCATTAAAGCAATTTTAAAATATTTATATTGATTACAGTCACCCTGTTGGGATTCACAAACCCTTCTACACACTTATTCGACCCACATGAAAAGCTACTCCTCTGCTGAAAGCACCATGCTGTGCTGAATCACTTTTTCTCCTGATACCTTGGGGAAAAAGAACAGTAGAGAAAAAGCTTCTAAATCAGAGAGGAAGGTCACCATCAATGAACAACTCCATGCATTTAAGGCAGACCTACGAGAGGACACTTCCTAATTAGAACAGTTCTACTTCTGAGCATTAGTGCTTCAGTTTTTCACATGGGAGAAAGTAAACAAGAAATACATTTTCTGAGAACATCCAGTTATAGCACTTGAGAGGAGAGGGAGGGAGAAAATCTGAAGTCAATAGAAAATGGACACAAAATGTAGGTCTCTGCTAACAATATTTTCCTGCGAGTGTTCCTTTGCCAGTTGCTTTTAAACACACCCACATCTAAGTTTTCAGAGCTGTGTTCACTATCTTGCTTTTCCACTGATGCTGCATTAGCAGGAGCAGACTGCAGTGTCTGTGTCTATGCTATTCCAAAGCAAGGAGGGGCTGTGGACCTTTGTACCCAAGAGCAAATCATCCTGACCCTCTTCTTCCCTCCCTCTTTCTTTCTTTTTCTTTCTTTCTCTTTCTTCCTTCCTTCCTTCCTTTCTTTCTTTCTTTCTTTCTTTCCTTTCTTTCTTTCTTTCTTTCTTTCTTTCTTTCTTTCTTTCTTTTTTTCTTTCTTTTTCTTTCTTTCTTTCTTTTCCTTCCTTCCCTCCTCCCTCACTCCCTTTCTTCCTTCCTTCTTTCCTTCCTTCCTTCTTTGTTGTTGTTTATTAGCCAGAGACAGTGTGCTCTTGCCAGAGAGAGACAGAAAGAATGAGAAAAAGTGAGAACTCCCTTCCACCATGGGACATGGTCGCATTGCAATCTCTTCTCCATTTCTGTATCCCATTGAGATTTGGGGTATGTACACACTCATGCCGCATATCTTTCAAGCTGTCAGGTCTGGGACTCGAGTGGTCAGCCATGTGGGCTCCAACTCCCTTAACTACCTGCACAGGACTGGCCCCTCTGACTTTATTCTGAGTCCTGTCTGATACAGTCTTCCCACAATGCTCCCTTGATTTCACTTCCTCAGGAGACTAAACCTCTGCAACATGTGAGGTTAGTGACTAAGATAAGCATATCTCTGCTAAAGCCGAGGATTTGTCCTAAACCAACATTCATCCCAGACTTTGCCTCAAAAGGCTAGATACAACCTCACATACTGAACTTGCATCCCTGTTCAACCTTGTGTATTTCCATCATCCTATTCCTTTATTTGTGTCAATCATATACTGTGTAAGTGAAGGTAATGTAGGAAATGACAAGTTTTTCTTCCTTATTCACTCAGGATCCAGAAACCAATGGTATTTTACATTTCCTAGTATAGTCAGTTGTAGTCCTTATTTTCTTTATAATCTTCATTGAATCTTGCTAAGAAAAACATGGAGACCTTGCTTTGCACATCTTGGTACCCTTCAAATCTCAGAAGTCTATGTTCGGTAAACTTCTGTTATTTCTCTTTCCTGCATTTTTTCTTTTTGTTTTTAAAGTTGTTTATACTCTTTTATTAATTGTTATTATTTTTAAAATTTGCTATAGGGAACGTGCCCTCACCAGAGAGAAAAAAAAAAAGACAGAGACAGAGAAAGCGAGAAAGCAAGCCATCAGGTACAGGACTTGAACTTTAGTCAGCCATGTAAGAGTCCAGTGCCTCAACCACCACACCACCTGCTAACCCTCTTTCCTATATTTTCACTTCCTTCTTCTTCCTTTGCTTTAAACCTCTAGGCAATTAGATATGTTGTCTCCTATATGAATAGAGGACCCTTTATTTGACCCTAGAGCTATACTCTTTTCTTCTATTGATCTTCACAGCCAGAGTGTTCAATTGTGCAATGTCCACAATCTGCTTTAATTTATTCACATCAAATTCACTCTTGAAATCACACTAATCCAGAACTGTCGAATTTTGGCACTGAAAAATTCCATAGCTCAGGATAACCTTCAGTTCTGGACAAACAGAGACAGCTAGGTATCCTAAATTCCACCTCCTTCTGTACTCTCTACCTCCAATTTTTCTTCAAATTCTGGTAGTTAAACTTTGTCTTTAATATATTTTCTCCTTTTCAAAGACAATCTCTTGGCTTAAATTTTCATTCACTCATAACCTATTGTACCAGTTTCTTCATGAGAACTCTCTCAGAGTATACTATACATTTTTGCCTATAACTAATTTCTCCTTTCATCCTTCAGCCTTATCCACTGATGTTACTACTCCCAGAATTTACCATTGCACCCTCACACCTCCATGGCTTTGCACATGTACTGCCCTTTCCTGGAACCCATCACTCTCCAGACTAACTGGTGTATCCTACCTATTCTCCAAATCTCAGCTTCAGCAAGCCTCGTTGGAAAGCATCAATACTCATCCAGTTTTCCCCCATAGAAGAATGTATATCCTTCCATTTTATTTTATTTTTTAAGAGATAGATTTTTGCTATAGGGCATGTGGCTTGCCAGAGAGACAGAAAGTGAGAAATCACCCCCAGGGAGGATGGCCATGCTGCATCTCTTCTCTGTTATCCTCTGGGGATTTGGGGCATGTACACACATGCTCCTGGTGTGAGTTTCAAGCCTCCAGGTTCATGACTTGAACCATAGTTGGCCATGTTGGAGTCATATGACATTACCATTATGCCATCTTCTGGTCCCCATTTTGCATTATCTTATTAAAATAGTCTGTTTCTTTTTCCTTACCAAACTACAAGATCCTTAGAGAAAGGCTTGATATGTTTCCTGTTAGTCTTCCCTGCTTCAGTAGAGTTTCTATCTCCATAAATAATTGTTGAATTGATGTTTAATGAAGTAATTATACTATTTTTATGTGTTCACATTTAGCAGGCAGGATAGATAGGGTACATAGACAAGATCTTGTCATTAAGAATTTATTGCTGTTCTTTAACCTTTGTTCCCTTGTGAAATATTTCTTCTTTTTTTTTTTTTTTTTTTTGAGACATCTTTGCTATAGGGTGTGGGCGCTTACCAGAAAGCCAGAGAGACAGAAGGTGGGAACTCACTCCCCAGTAGGATGGCCACACCACAGTCCCTTCTCCCCCATTTTATTCTCAGGATTTGGGGTCTGCATGCATGTGCTCCCAGGGTGAGTTTCAAGCTACCAGATCTGGGACTTGAACCATGATTGGCCATGTAGGAGTCTAGCAATGTAACTACCACATCACCTGCTAGTCCATAAAATCACTCTTTAAGTTGTACTTCATACCTGAAGAGTAACTAAGAGTGATTAGACTTATCGAAACTTAGAAAAAGAGCAGAAAGTTTGCTTACGGTTCTTGCATCCCATATGGACAAGGACTTGTCAGCAGAACCTGTGAGGAGCGTGTTGGAGAAAGGAAAAAACTCAATGCTGTTCACAGAATCCGTATGTCCATACAAAGTAGATCTGCATTTTTCACTGCAGAGAGAGAAATTAAGAGTTAAAGTTTTAGGAGTGAGTATCTAAATGCTTCCTATGCTGTGTGAACAATGGTAATAAAGACAATTTAAGAATCTGAGGTGGGACCAACAGTTGGCATAATGGCTATGTCTCTGGACTCCCATGTAGCCAACCACGTTTTGAGTCCTGGACTTAGTGGCTTAAACTCACGCCGGGCACATATGCATGCGTGCCCAAGATCCTGAGAGGAGAACAGAGGAGAAGGGATTGCGGCGTGGCCTTCCCCTCTGAGGGGTGTTTTGTCACTTTCTGTTTCTCTGTCTTTTTTTTTTTCTATTTATTTTTTAAATTTTTAAAATATACGTTCAAAAACATTATTTAGCTTACAAAGTGAACATGTCTATATGTCAACATTTCTCCCCAGTCCAGTTGATCAAAATATCTTCAACTGATTCTGGCAGGCGCATTCGCTCTATAACAAAAAACCTCTTCAAAAAAAAAAAAAAAAGGATCTGAGGCATAAAGTAATTTAAAAATAACAAAAATTTCACAAGAACACTTTGAAAGAAATATCCTATGACCCTATGACCACCTCATAGTCTATGCTCTCTGCCAAACTAGTAGCATAAACTCTACTAAATTTAAATTCTTTTTAATTTGTAGGATCACTTGGTACAGTCATTTTTTTATATTATCTCATTTATTCTTTATCCTGAAATTACTATGTAAAAGCTGTCCCCCTCTAATAAAAGACTATAGTGAGAAAATAAAATATTGTACTAATCCATGAGACCAAATTAACCATTTTTTTTTCTACAGGGCACGTGGGCTTGCCAGAAAGACAGAAAGAGACAGAAGGCGAGAAATCACCCCCCAGGGGGAATGGCCACGCTGCTATCCCTTCTCCTCCATTCTCCTCTTGGGATCTTGGGCACGCACACACACATGCTCGGTGTGAGTTTAAGCCACCGGGTCCGGGACGTGAACCGTGGTTGACTACATGGGAGTCCAGTGACATGGCCATTACTCTAACTGCTGGTTCCAAGACCACAATAACTTTTTAAGGTCACTATTTTTCTCAGCCTTGATTGTATATTAGAATCACCTGAGACTCTTCTAGAACCTACTGATACCAGTCTTAATCCTCACACATTTAATTAGGGTGTCACGAAAGTCATGACATATTTTTCTGTTTGTCTATGCACAAAAGCGTCATGACTTTCCTGATAACCCAGTATTTCAGTTGATCTGAGACGGAGCCTGGGCATTAGCATATTAACATATTAACATTTTTCTTGGTAATTGTAATTTGTCTTTAAGGCCAAGAATATAAACCAGTAGGTTTTAAAATGTTCTACCTAGCCGAGGTGTATTAAAGTCACCTATGAATGTGTCCAAAATTAAATTCTTGACCCTCATCCCAAACCTATTGGATCAGAAACTCTGGAGTAGTCCCAACAATTTCAGAATTTGCAAGTTCTCCAGGTGATTCTGGTGCATGATAAAGTTTGAGAATCACTCAACTACATGCTTAGAAATGACTGAGAGGGGCTAGAACATGGTGAGGTGGTTAAAGTGCTGGACTCCCACATGGTCAACCATAGTTTGAGTCCTGGACCTGGTGACTTGGTTTCTTACTTTTCTTCCATCTCTCTCTCTCTCTCGCTCTGTCTCTCTCTCTCTCTCCCCCTCTCTCTCTCTCTGGTGAATGCATGTGTCCTATGGTAAATTAAAAATAAATAAATAAATAAATAAAATAATTTTTCTTTTTAGACAAAATGAAATGACTGAGAAGGAAAGAAAGCTGCCAGTTTTTCAAAGGGCTATTTCTTAATGAAACAGAGCACACATAGGATAGTATCACTTCTCATTTGTAATGACTGATTGCTTTTAAATAATTTATGACTTTTTAAAAATAGATAAAGAATAAAAGCAGGATAACTAATCAATGCTGAAAACAGTGAAGTTGCTATAAGTACATTCCTAAGAGGATAATTAATTAATTACCCTCTGCTTCGTTCTCTCTCACTGGAGCCATGCTTTATACTGTAGTGAGCCAAACTCTGCAGTGGGAGCCAGGGGCCTGGATTCCAATCCTGACTTTGACCTCAACTAGCAGGGTAACTACAGATAAGTCCATTAATCTTGGCAGTGGTAGGTTTCCTTTTGATGTGAATAAAATTAATTAATTTGATACATGCAAAGATCCAGTCTAGCAGTTTGCTTATCTCTTTTAAACTTTTGGCATCTTTGAGAAGTCAAGAAATAATAAGGTTTATGAATATATGAATATGTCTGTAATCACTGAGCAACATTCAACATTCCCCTTTCCATGTCAAAGCTAAGTATTATAGCAATTAATATTTAAACCGAAAAATTAATTAATTAGAAATATTTTGTATTAGTTTCTTTATCTCAATATTTATGACAGGCTGATGATATTTTATTGTAAAAGTTAGCAATATGTCAAAAAATCTAATTTTTGTGTTATAAAAGTAAGAATAAAAAGTTGATGATATGTCAGTATATACCAATGGGACTCAACAAACCATGACCATGGCTGACTGATTATTTTGTAAATAAAGTTTTATTGGAATATGCTAATTTGTTTACATGTTGTCTATAGCTGTTTTCCTATTACGGCAGCAGAGTTGCATAGTTATAGCAGAGTCTATCTGGTCCACAGTCTAAAATATTTCATATATGCATCTTTGAGAAGTTTGGTGACTCATATTTATTATTTTTTGAACATTTTCAGGTATGCTTGGATTTTACTTAGGACATTCAATTTTTGAGGAGGATGAAAAAAATTGCAGACTTTTTTTTTTTAAGAATTACTGTCTTATATAAAAGTACTATGTGCTATTTTCTAATGATTCTAAAACTGTAAGTACAACACTTTTTATTAAAAGTGTATATTCTGGGGTCAGCCCCACAGTGCAGCAGTAAGGGCTGTGTGTAGAAAACTGGACTCTATATGGCAAAATTCAATTCAAATCCTGGTCCTAGAAGCTTGAAAAAATCTGCTCTGTGTGTGTGTGTGTGTGTGTGTGTGTGTGCCCAGAATCTAATGATCTAATGAGATGTAGAAGTAGAATAAAAAGGATTGCAGCATGACCACACTCCATGGGGGGTTCTTTCTCTTTCTCCCTGGAAAATATACATGCCCTCTAACAATTAAAAAATTATATTCCAATGCCTACTATCTTGAAACTAATCATCTCTAAATGGTAAAATGTAATTTAATTGTTTCTGTATGGAGAAAGAGAACAATGTGTGTGGGGGGAGGGCAGGGACAGAAAGAGAGACAGAGAAACCAACAAAACATGAGAATTTTATATTATACCTATTTCTTTCCATTTCCTCTTATCTCCCATTATATCGTATTGCTACTTTTAGAATGTCAAAAACATTGATGTTTTGATCTGTAATAACAAATCCCATAGTTGTTTAGTGTCTCCACTCCTTGAGCCACTTGGTATTTATTTAATATATATTTGAGTTAACTCTCTGCACCCACATTTTTACACATGAGTATTCAATACTTCAACAGCAATTTTAACTGGTTAGAATACCTTGGGTAATATGTTCTTTTCAAATGTTTCCAGGAAAATGTTTCACTGTCTAATATTGGTGGCAGACTCTGAGTCCTGCCTAATTTTCCTCCCCTCCCAACCCAACATCTTTTGTAGATTACTTGTTTTTCATGCCCAAAAGCCTGTATAGTTCTTTCACAAATGCTTTAGTTTAGAAATTTTAGCATATGTGCCTTGGTGGCAATTTCCAGACATTATTCCCAGACTTCTGTTGTCGTAGGAAACTTTCTCCCCCGTATCTTTATTTTTTTCCCCTCCACTTATTCTGTTTATTTTGTTCAGAAACAGCATTTTTGTCTTATTTGTTCTCAATATTTAACATTTTCTCTATAGACCTTCTATCTTTTTTCCATGTATTTCTTGCAGCTGTTCTTTATGACTCTCAGTTGTTTATTATTATGTGTGTTGGGTGGGAAAAGGCAATCAAAAGGTTATTTTTTTATTTCACTTATTTCTTGATCTTTCTCAGTATGCTTTTCATCTGTATTTATTGTCTTATAAAATAATGATGAAATGTTGTAACTCTTTTGTTTTGTTTTTATTATATATAAGTGATATAAATTTAAATATAGGATTTCTGTAATTTCTTTGAAAATATGAGTACATTTTGTCTGAATTCCTAATTTGACACCTTGATGATTTCTTATACTCTCTCTATTCTTCATTAGAATTTGATTTATATTCATTACTTCTGTAATTTTTTTCAATTATTTGTAGGTTTTGGGCTGGTTTATTTTTATTATGACATATCTTTGTTTAAGTCCAGCAATTTGCTAAATATTAATGACAGAAGGAGATAAATTGAGAAGATTAATTGTCAGGAGAAAAAGGCAATCTCTAATTTCCGTTAGGATTTGTTGTCTTCCTCAAAGACTTCTCATCAAGCATGTTAGTGACTTGACCCTGGAAGTTCATCTCTCTTCCATCTTTGTACTTTACAGAATAGGTACAGCTTGTTGCAAAACCCCTGAGTCCTAGCTTATGTATTGACTTTACACGCTTTTGCCCCATTACCATCTTCAGTCTATCTCATCTCTGGCAGTCTACTTGATCTCCTTTATCTAACAATGAAAAAATTGCTTGTTGAGATTAAAGAACCATCCTCCCACAATAAACAACTATTAAATTATACACATTATATGAGGTGACAAGTGTTATCTAGCATTGAACTAACCACAGCATAGGGTGATAATCCTTAAGGGAAAATAAACTCAACATGAGTTCTATGACCTCTCTGACTTTTGGCTTGGAAGCACTTTCTGGCTATCAAACACAGAAGTAGAACCCAGTAGAACTGAAGTCCACTGAACCAAGGGGTGGTAAAAAAATGTCTGGGCTGATGAATTACTTGGAATTAGCAGCATAGGGTACCTAAGAAAAGGGAGTTGACCTGGGGATAAGAGTCATTTGTGTAAGAATTCA